ATTGTGTATTTATTATTCCTAATAATTACATAATCTCCTTAACTAACCTTCAAGTCTTATTTATCAAAGTTATTGTTTAGGATTATTGTTTATTGTTTAAAATTAAAATAAATATTTATCTCATATTTCAGAAAAGTACATTCTAACTAAAATACATCCTGTGAAATTCTGTATAAACAAACTGCTTATGAATAACTAATTGCAAAATCTTTAATCCATGTTCCATGAAGCTCTTAGAATTATAACTATAAATTTTATATGAATGCACAAACTGTTTCTCAGTTAAACAGTGATTCCTGATTTATTTTTCTAATGATTTACCTACTAACCAGTTGAACTGCCTTTCTAGAAGCACAAAGATTCATAATTTAAAAAGAAATCCAATGATTTTTAAGTATCTTTCGAAAACCTTACAAACGATAAAGAATCTATGACCACTTTAAAAAAGTGAAATTTATAAAATTTCTTTTACATCTATAAAACAGCCAAAGATGACAAGAAAACCATTACAACCAGGGCTTTGGAGTGGAGCTGGAGCTGGAGCTGCTGCATGGAGCAGGTGGAGCAACGGATTTTTACTCAGAGCAGGAGCGGAACTGGAGCATGGAAATTTGTAGTGCTCCACTGCTCTAATATATATATTTATTTAATATTTGAGACAGTGAGAATGGAAGTGGCATAAGTTGTAATATTACAAATGTTAAGAATACAATAATTGAACTAAAAAGAAAGGTGATCACAAGCACAGATGAATTTTACATCCATTCCATGTATGTCCCATGTGAAAGGTGGGAGCCTTTCTCTCCAGTCTCCACTATCCCCTGAACAAACTATTCCTTCCCCTTTGTGACCCCCAGTTCTCTGAATTCTTAACGATCACAGATGTGGAGTTAATGGGGAGGGGTGCTAATGAGTAGGAGATTTTAAACTCTACTTACAAGTGGCTTTAGTCATTAGTACAGAAATTCACCACTAGGAGCAGCACTAATATTCATTTTTACATTTGATTTTGAGTGTGACAGTCATTCATTTCTGTTCGCAATCAGTTTGTTATAATCGTATATCCTAATTCGTAATTTGTTTGCAGAGGTAAGATTATTATTATCATTTGGTTATTTTGTATGTATGAATGTTTATATGCATAATTTCTCAATTATTAACACTTAAATATTTGATTATTTAAGCCATGGCGTCAAACCAAAATTTAAAACCATCACCCTTGATAGACAGTTGATTTACAGAAGAAGAGCTTAAAGAGATATTTGTATTTGAATACAATAATGGAAAGAAAAAATCAGTTACATGCAAGATGGAACACATTGTAAATGGTGAATCTATAAGGTGCGTTTCAAATTTACACAGACACGAAAAAATTAAAGTGAAACCCAAATTTTCTGCATTAAGTGACAAATGTTTTATTAAAAATAACATGAATTTATCAGGTAACTAAAAAAGTTCTGTTGTTTTTTGTTGAAAGAAAACAAACATAAAAACGTATAGGAAATAACAATTTATTCATCAAAATAACCATCCTCACATTCAATTACTTTTCACAACAGGAAACAAGCTTATAAATTCCATTTTTATAAAAGTCACGATCTTTAGAGTTGAAAAACTTCTCTAACTCTGTTTCCATAGCCTCTCTATTTCTGAACTGTCGATTTTGCAGATGATTATCTAGGCTTAAAAATAGATGATAGTCAGAAGGGCTAATATCAGGGGAATAAGGAGGGTGCAAAAGAGGTTCCCATCCAAGCGTCTGAATTGTGTCAGAGGTCACACGTGCAACATGATGCCTATAGCATTATCATGTAGGAAAAGAATGCCTTTATGGTTCACTAAAGCTTGCTGTTTTTTCAAAAGTGATTGGTGAACTCAACGGAGTTGGTCACTGTAGACGTTAGCAGTAATAGTCTGGCCAGATGGTATAAGTTCATAGTGAATAATTCTATATGCAGTCCACCATACGCACAATATTGGCAGATGTCAATTGATGAGGTATCCATTTGCTGAGCTTGTAAACTTTCCCAAGACTATGCAAATGTAAATGGACAGTTTTGTCACTTATGGAGAACCTTTGTGCTAACATCTGACAAGTTTGAGCGGAATCTTCTTCAATTGCAGCCTGTAATTCATCATTAATGACATATGGCCGCCCTTCTCGTGACGCATCTTTAAGTGACTCATCGCCAGAAGAAAATTTTCTAAACCACCTTTGGTTGGTGCGAGTACTGACAGAACCTTGTCCGAAAGACTGGCATATTTTTTGAGCCATTTGCAGAGCATTTGTTCAAAGTTTAAACTCATACAACATACAAGCATGAATTATAGTTTGGAGTATTCATCTTCAGGTCAATTTTTATAATATTAAGAGATAATCTTTCTGCTTCTCTTTATATGAGTCAGCATTAAATCTTGATTAACATACTGCTGGAATTTTAGTGCCTTCTATTGTGTATTACATGTAACATTCTTTAAACTTTGTAGTTTCACAAAAAATAACAGAACTTTTTTGGTTACCTAATACAGGTTTCCACACTGCAAAATAAGAATTTTAATCAAATATTAACATTTTGTCACTGAAAATAATATTTTTGAAAATTTTGTACAAAAAAACTGTTACATATTTATCTGGACAGGTTTCAAATTGTAAAGTTTTCTTACAATTTAATGGCCAATGTAACCACCATTTAACTTAATTACATTAAATACTCGATTAGGCATTGTTTCAATTAGATTCTGAAGGAATTCAATCTTAAGTTTATCCCAAGCATCTGAAATTGCTGCCTTCAAATCATGAATTATGGAAAACTGATTTCCATTGGCATAAACTGTAGAACCATCATCCCCCAAAGATTTTCCATTGGATTCAGGTCAGGGCTTCTAGCAGGCCATGCAATCAGATTAATATTTTTATGTTTAAACCACATTTTTGTTGATTTACAATCATGCACAGGGGCATTGTCTTGTTGAAAGATCCAATTTTGTCCACAAATATTTGGTCCAGCTTCCAATAAATGATCTTGAAGCATGCCTTGATACTTCTCTGAATTCATTTTTTGAGTTATAAATGCTAAATCTGTGGTTCCATTGAATCCAAACGCACCCCACACAATTATTGATCCTCCACCCATTTGGCGTTTTGAAAATATTTGTTTTTCGGTTCTTAATCGTGCCAATAATACTTCCAACCATCTGGACCATCTAAGTTGAATTTTTTTTCATCACTGAACAATCCATTCTTTGGACCATGTCATGTGTTTTTGTGCTCAATCAAGTCTGTCACTTTTGTGCTTTAATGAAAGTGGTGGCATTACAGCTTTTTTTTCTGAATTTTAACATTGGAGATTTATTTAAAACTCTCCACACTGTTGTGCTGCTACAAGGCAAGTCTAATTCTTGTTTTATTTTTCTTACTGATGTTTGTTTTGTGGAGGAAACCTTGATGATTTGTCTACAATCTTGAGGTGTAAGCTTGGGTTTTGGACCTGTCTTGAATTTTGGCACATCCTTGCCACAGTTGATTTTGGATGAATTATATATGCTGCAATTTCTCTTATTGACTTGATTTATGATTTATAGGCATCAATCTGCCCTTTTTTATAATCAGATAAATTCTTTGTTCTACCCATTTTAAAATTTTGAACAACATAAATAATTTGTATTACAATTAGATATGTAAGCTAATTTGCATATTTCAATGCTTGAAACTAAACAATATTCAAGTCATGAAATGAGTGCCTGTCTAGATAAATATGTAACAGTTTTTTTGTACAAAATTTTCAAAAATATTATTTTCAGTGACAAAATGTTAAAGTTTGATTAAAATTCTTATTTTGCAGTGTGGAAACATGTATATTCATGTTATTTTTAATAAAACATTTGTCACTTAATGCAGCAAATTTGGGTTTCACTTTAATTTTTTCGTTCTGTATAAATTTGAAACGCACTTTATACATAATAAAGATGACAGCGAAATAGACAAACATGTTGAGAAAGACTGCAATGCAATATAGGATGTGGGGAGATTAAAGGTGAATGTATTCAAAGCCATTGACCATTATCAGGAGCACATCAGAAAAGCATGCAGAGTTGCTTCAAGTATGCCAACTTCTCAAGCAAGTGTTGAATGTCTATTTTCAGGATTAAGATTGCTTTGACGTGATAATAGACAGTCAATGAAGGACGATTTGCTGTCTGCCATTTTATTTATTAAAATCAATGAGGTTGTATGTTAATTTTTTTAATAATAAATTAATTGTAAATAAACAAATTTTTTTATATGTACTTATATATCAAAGAAAAATTAGTGTAATTCCTATAAGAATATTTTAACTGGTGCATAGAGCAACTCAAAAAAATGGTTGCTCCAAAGCACTGGTTACAACATCTACCAATAACATTCAACTTAAAAAACATGCAGGAAAAAATGAAAAGATAGCAATTCTTTGACCAGAATCTCACTTGTTTTCTGGAAAATTCTTAATTAAACATTGTAATGAATTTCCATATAACTGACACGCTGGATTTATAAGAGGCATTTATAATATACTTATCAATCCCAGGAATTCTAAATATCTTTCTATGTAATAGAAACGGTTCATTCTATGCTCTTCAAAGATATTTCATATAATTACACTGTATATAGTATTTACTGTGATAATATTAATTAATATCCTAACTCTAACATATATTTACAAAATTGATAATTTCTGTATAACAATGCTAATGAGGTGTTTATATTCACAATTACATCCATGCTAATGGAGTTTTATTTAAAACATTGCATCAGAATTTCTGATGATGAGTCAAATGACTTGGAAGTGCTCAAACACTCTTTTCTTGTGTATTTTTATATTTCTGTAATGTTATGTTTCCATTAAAGAACCATTTTTTAGTTCTTAACTTTATAGAGTTTTTAACTAGTTTTAATATACTTTTTAATACTGTTCACAATTTAATTTTTATAATTTAACAAATAAAATAATTTAAAACTTTACCTAGAATTTGTCCAACTATATCCTAAATGATCCAATGAAGAATTAAGTGAAGAAAATGAAGATGAATTTGACAAATCAGATACATAATTAGCTGATGGTAAAACAAAATTTGGCGTGACAGCTGAAACTTTAGATTTTGGACTTGAGGTACGATTAAATTCTGTTGACGCATACTTGAAACCAATATCTGAAATTCAAACATATAGATATTTAATTGTTTATTTTATACACAAATTAATATTTTTTAGTGAAACTGTTCATTATATGAGTCATTACCATTGTCTTTAATCTTAAATAATTTTCTGTAAACTGGAGTCAGTTCAAGAGGACTCTGTCCAATAGTTGGCCAAACATACAAGTAAGCATTGTAAAGACCATTTAATGTAAAAATACATGCAATAATAACTTCTGAAAAAATTATTTAATAAATTATAATTAGAATGTTATAACAACTTAATTTCCTCATTATTAATAATAAACTTAATAGTAAAACCAATATAAAAAACTATCAGACTACACAAAGTGATATAAATCACAAGATTCTTTTAGATAGGGACCACATATACAATGGAGATCCTATAAAATTAAAATGAAGCTGAAAAATTCATATCTGCCTGTACTATTTCTGTTTAGACACGTTTAGGTATAAAACATACTTATCATTGTTTTATATATAGCCTACATTAGTACATTATACAATGGAACCTCGCTTAACTAGCATAATTTGCTGCAGAATCTTACTCGTAATGTGAAATATTCGTTAAGCAAAACAATTTTTCCCATATAAATTAATGTAAAATATGATAATGCGTTTCACGTGGAAAAAATACTCAAATATTTTATGTATAACGTTTATTCAAAGAAAATTATACAATATACATTGTTAAAATGCGTGAATCATCATCATCTTTTCTTCTAGCACAGAATGAACCAACCTGAAATGTGAATTCAATTTACAAAAAAAAAAAATTACAGATAATATGTCTGATAAACACACCAAATGATATGCCTAATTCTTGGACTATGTGAAGGCTATAATTAAATATTAGAAATTAATTAATTTGACTAGAGATAGGCAGTTATACTGCCATCTCATATTAAATTTAATAATTATAAATAGTTAATTCAGACATTTCTAAAATTAAATTTGGAATGGGTCATTAAATTTAATACAAGATGGCAGCATAACTACCTACCTCTAGTCAAATTAATTAATTTCTAATATTTAATTATAGCCTTCACATAGTCCAAGAATTTCACATATCGTTTGGTGTGTTTATTATATAACGGGCTATGGTTCTTGATGTTTATATGTAATATGTCTGAACAAAAGTTTGAAAAATGTATGATCACAAGTGACACTAAGATGCTAGCGGAACAAGTGCTAAACACAGACTGATAAAGCATGTGCACAATCTGGGACGTCCCTTCTTGTTGCTTGTTAAGCAATTCATTTTTTTTTACAAATTTGTTTTGCTTGTTATGCAAAGTGCTTGTTAAGTGAGGTTCCACTATTCCTTATAAGGTTTGTCTAAATAAACTTTATGATTTCATGATGAACTCAGGATATTTTTCTTCTAATTTTCAATTAGAGATTAGACTATGTACAAAAAATTTATTTAATTTTTGAGTCTATCAATTCATCCTTTTTTCATACACCATAGAAGTAGCCTTTACATTGGTTTGAAGAACTCACTGTACATTCATAAAAACGAACAACAATAGGTAAAATTTACAATTAAAAACGATCAGATGTCAGCCTTTCATTTTAGGTATCTGACGCCTTAACATTAAAAATTAAGTAAATGTTCTCACCAACTGCCAAGTTTTATACCATCTGTATCAGGTTCAAGCCCTCTAGTGGTGAAATTGAAATTGAATCATGAAATTGTAACTATATGCAAATCAAAGATAACTCGTATCCACCACTAGAGGACTATTATAATTGTTTTAAGAAACACTTTTAAAATATATATATATATAAAAATCAATATTTCAGGATTAAGATTGCTTTGACGTGATAATAGACAGTCAATGAAGGACGATTTGCTGTCTGCCATTTTATTTATTAAAATCAATGAGGTTGTATGTTAATTTTTTTAATAATAAATTAGTTGTAAATAAACAAGTTTTTTTNNCTCGGTCCCACCTATTGCGTAAATTCGGGGTATTACTGTATTTAGATTTTTACAGCTAGAAACGTTTAAAATTTACAACAACCCTGTCACGTCCTTTGAGGTATACTAGTGATGCGACAAAAGAGGCATTTGACATTGACCAGTATTGGCACCCTTAGGATTTGCCAGCCTGCGTGCATACATGCATGCACTGCACACCTACTAGGACCATCTCTAATTCCATCATTAGCCACTGGTAGGGAGCTATTTGACTAAAGTGCATTGTTTTAAGACTTAAAAAGTATAGAATAGTTTGTTATTTTTATGTATGTTTCTTTACAAAGCTATATTTAATTATAATTTTCTTTAAAAGTTATATTCATACAATTAAAGAATATTTTGTACAGGTATGTATATCCACCACATATTTTATTTCACCAAGTTTTTATATTTAATTTTAGCCCTTATATTGTGGCTAGCGATTCAGTATGTAATTGTGATATTAAAAATACATTTAGAGAAATCTAGTTTTTACTGGCTTATCGAACAAACAAATACGAATGGACCCTAGACCATCACTGACACGCAATTAACTGATTGCCCCTGGAAGTCGGCTTCTTACAGAAACACAGCTTCCCTATCATCAAATGTCATAGCACTCCACTGCATATAAATGTTAAAAAGAGTATTGCATTTCATTATTATATTTAAGTAAATTTTAAAATCAAATCTCATTTTCTTATAACAATATGAAATTGCTTAATGATAATTGATAAAAAAAAAAGTAAATAACATTGTGTATTTATTATTCCTAATAATTACATAATCTCCTTAACTAACCTTCAAGTCTTATTTATCAAAGTTATTGTTTAGGATTATTGTTTATTGTTTAAAATTAAAATAAATATTTATCTCATATTTCAGAAAAGTACATTCTAACTAAAATACATCCTGTGAAATTCTGTATAAACAAACTGCTTATGAATAACTAATTGCAAAATCTTTAATCCATGTTCCATGAAGCTCTTAGAATTATAACTATAAATTTTATATGAATGCACAAACTGTTTCTCAGTTAAACAGTGATTCCTGATTTATTTTTCTAATGATTTACCTACTAACCAGTTGAACTGCCTTTCTAGAAGCACAAAGATTCATAATTTAAAAAGAAATCCAATGATTTTTAAGTATCTTTCGAAAACCTTACAAACGATAAAGAATCTATGACCACTTTAAAAAAGTGAAATTTATAAAATTTCTTTTACATCTATAAAACAGCCAAAGATGACAAGAAAACCATTACAACCAGGGCTTTGGAGTGGAGCTGGAGCTGGAGCTGCTGCATGGAGCAGGTGGAGCAACGGATTTTTACTCAGAGCAGGAGCGGAACTGGAGCATGGAAATTTGTAGTGCTCCACTGCTCTAATATATATATTTATTTAATATTTGAGACAGTGAGAATGGAAGTGGCATAAGTTGTAATATTACAAATGTTAAGAATACAATAATTGAACTAAAAAGAAAGGTGATCACAAGCACAGATGAATTTTACATCCATTCCATGTATGTCCCATGTGAAAGGTGGGAGCCTTTCTCTCCAGTCTCCACTATCCCCTGAACAAACTATTCCTTCCCCTTTGTGACCCCCAGTTCTCTGAATTCTTAACGATCACAGATGTGGAGTTAATGGGGAGGGGTGCTAATGAGTAGGAGATTTTAAACTCTACTTACAAGTGGCTTTAGTCATTAGTACAGAAATTCACCACTAGGAGCAGCACTAATATTCATTTTTACATTTGATTTTGAGTGTGACAGTCATTCATTTCTGTTCGCAATCAGTTTGTTATAATCGTATATCCTAATTCGTAATTTGTTTGCAGAGGTAAGATTATTATTATCATTTGGTTATTTTGTATGTATGAATGTTTATATGCATAATTTCTCAATTATTAACACTTAAATATTTGATTATTTAAGCCATGGCGTCAAACCAAAATTTAAAACCATCACCCTTGATAGACAGTTGATTTACAGAAGAAGAGCTTAAAGAGATATTTGTATTTGAATACAATAATGGAAAGAAAAAATCAGTTACATGCAAGATGGAACACATTGTAAATGGTGAATCTATAAGGTGCGTTTCAAATTTACACAGACACGAAAAAATTAAAGTGAAACCCAAATTTTCTGCATTAAGTGACAAATGTTTTATTAAAAATAACATGAATTTATCAGGTAACTAAAAAAGTTCTGTTGTTTTTTGTTGAAAGAAAACAAACATAAAAACGTATAGGAAATAACAATTTATTCATCAAAATAACCATCCTCACATTCAATTACTTTTCACAACAGGAAACAAGCTTATAAATTCCATTTTTATAAAAGTCACGATCTTTAGAGTTGAAAAACTTCTCTAACTCTGTTTCCATAGCCTCTCTATTTCTGAACTGTCGATTTTGCAGATGATTATCTAGGCTTAAAAATAGATGATAGTCAGAAGGGCTAATATCAGGGGAATAAGGAGGGTGCAAAAGAGGTTCCCATCCAAGCGTCTGAATTGTGTCAGAGGTCACACGTGCAACATGATGCCTATAGCATTATCATGTAGGAAAAGAATGCCTTTATGGTTCACTAAAGCTTGCTGTTTTTTCAAAAGTGATTGGTGAACTCAACGGAGTTGGTCACTGTAGACGTTAGCAGTAATAGTCTGGCCAGATGGTATAAGTTCATAGTGAATAATTCTATATGCAGTCCACCATACGCACAATATTGGCAGATGTCAATTGATGAGGTATCCATTTGCTGAGCTTGTAAACTTTCCCAAGACTATGCAAATGTAAATGGACAGTTTTGTCACTTATGGAGAACCTTTGTGCTAACATCTGACAAGTTTGAGCGGAATCTTCTTCAATTGCAGCCTGTAATTCATCATTAATGACATATGGCCGCCCTTCTCGTGACGCATCTTTAAGTGACTCATCGCCAGAAGAAAATTTTCTAAACCACCTTTGGTTGGTGCGAGTACTGACAGAACCTTGTCCGAAAGACTGGCATATTTTTTGAGCCATTTGCAGAGCATTTGTTCAAAGTTTAAACTCATACAACATACAAGCATGAATTATAGTTTGGAGTATTCATCTTCAGGTCAATTTTTATAATATTAAGAGATAATCTTTCTGCTTCTCTTTATATGAGTCAGCATTAAATCTTGATTAACATACTGCTGGAATTTTAGTGCCTTCTATTGTGTATTACATGTAACATTCTTTAAACTTTGTAGTTTCACAAAAAATAACAGAACTTTTTTGGTT